GTTGTCCGTTATTTCGGTCACAAGTCAGCAATGCACCCTAAGACGTCTTAATTAAAAATAAATTTCCGCTCTTTCCACAAGTCAGTTTTCTCTTCAGTACTGCAATTATACTGTCTCGTACGCATGTTGATTTTCGACCGAGCAGGAAATGCTAAGGGCACAGAGGATCAAGGGAAGGTTGTGTAAACGGGCACTCCCGCAGAGAGTGGCGCCTACGAGGCAGGCAACAGGCCACGTTCGATATGTCAATATTCTATTCTAACTTTTTATTTGTCTCTCAATTCCCAAAAGAGACTTGGACACAAAGAAAACAAGATTAAATATAGAAGTTTGTCCTGTAAGCCTGGGAGCCAAGGTTAGAATATTGATATATCGAACGTGCAGTGGCCTATTGACTACGTATTATTTCCTGTCCGGATTTTCTTTCTTTAGATCAGTCAGAAGCTTAGTTCAATCATGACGGTTCATACTTTTCCAGTTATTTTCCTTCCAATAGTTAGTTCCATTCAAGTAATTTTTTAGATGATCGGATCATCACCTCGCATAATTAACCAGTCTACTTGAATTTTTTTATAGAACAAAATAGAGAGGAATGTACGCTGTAATGAGGCCTGAAAAAAATGACAAAAAAAAAAATAATATAAACTAGATAAAATTCTCGTTTGATATGAATTAAAGGAAAGAAATAAGCGCTCTGGAATTCAGTAAAATACAGCGTGGTCATTTGAGTTCAGTAGGTCAATTGCAGCTGTAACCTAGCTGGACTAATCTCAAGTACGCTTTTGAAATTTCATTACAGGTAGTATTTATAACAATTTCAGGTAGCATTTATTTCAAAATCCTTGAGAAAGAATTCAGCAAGAACTGAAAGACGGTTAGAATATTCTTTTGTATTGTAAACAAAAGACATTGATAGGTCAGCTTGGATCAGAACAGAGGTTATTAAGTAAACAATACCCAAATGTGACGATGTTGGTAAACGACAAAAGCCGGTTTACCCCAAAAAAATCATTAGAGAACTGTATATAATCTGTAAACAGTGGCAACTTGACACGTATGCACAAAGAGGCTTTATTCGACACACTGGCTTTCCCGCCAAGCACAGATCAGCTAATTACTACTGTTTTAAGAGTTTGCGAGCCCTGAAAATTTTGAACCAATCATTTCCTTTTAATTTCAATTTATTGAAAGGGTAGGAGAGTTTTACTTTGAAAAAAGAAAAGAGATCAGGAACTCCCACTACTGGAAAAAGATTAGTTGATAAGCATGTACGACATAAAGGAAGGTTAATTAAGAATACGCATTTACATGCATTTATTAATAATAATGTACATTTAAAAATCAGCCAGCTGACGCTTGGTCTTCCGTGATTCCCCTGTAAGGCGTCGACAGTTGAGTCAGTGAGAAGGCGAATAGCCTAGCTAAAAATATTATATAAACCTTAAATTACAACTCTTTTTCAGTTATAACGGCATTCTAAAGCTTAAAACAAGGTAAGAATATTCTTGGTTTATTTAAATTTTTCTCATTTTGCTGCAAAAGACAACTGAATATGTAGATGCAAACTCTACATACACGGAAGGAGGTGCTCTATTTGAACAGATAATAATAATTTTTGTAGCATTCGGTTTCCTCACACAATTTTGTTATTTAACTTTTTTGACCTTAAAAATTTTCTTTTTGATCAAACCCTTAAACTTTGAAAATAATTTCTCGCTTGCGCATATTTGCGATATTGACTTTTAAATTGTGCGACCTTCTGCTCGAAAGGTTTTTTTCTAAGAAGGTGACATTTTAATTGCCCGCTCGTGACGTGCACATCTACCGAACAAAAACGCCTGCCATCTATATTTGTTTTTAGTTTATTCGCTTGGTGTTTAGTTAAAGATTTCCTTGGATGTTTCAAATAAAATGGAAGATTTGAGAATAAGATTTTCCAAATCTCTTTCTTTACAAAGAAATTTTTAAAAGTAAACCTTAAATTCGCCCTCGAATAATTTTATTCGTCAGGCGTGTAAACTTCTTAGCAAAACATGTTCAAAGTTAGAGGTGAACTGTCACCAGGTGGTTTTGTTCAAACTGAACCTGTAATAACCATTTTTTGTTATTTGAGAAATTGTACTTTAAACTAACTAGATGATCTAAACCATTTTAAAGTCGAAATTTTGGTTGCAATGCGAATATAAGTTGCAAAATTTAAAGACTTAAGGCAACAACTTAAAATCGCGCGCTTCTTGCGTTTGAAAATTAGTTCGCCTTCTTTCTCGAAGTCATGCTGAGGACTGACAAAAAAGATACCCCTTTGGCAAAAAAAAAAAAAAAAAAAAATTAAAGCAAAAATTAAATAGCAAAAAAGAAAAATTGTAAGTCAATTGATAACAAATTTCTCAAAATTCAATTCTTACCAAGCTTTTGTTTTGCATCTTCAANACACTATACAAAAAAAAAAAAAAAAAAAAAAAAAAAAAAAAAATGCGCATCAATTCCACTTTTGCCACGTCTGTCGCAAACGTGCTGTGAAATTAATTTAATTTAATGCGAAATCTGTCGAACTGCTTGAGTGGCACTCAATCTATTAAAAATCAGTAGCAATATTCACCCTTTTCTTATCTGAAAAACCTTCCGCACACCAGGCGATAAATCACGTATTTCATGGAAAGTTTTAAACGTCGTTGCCAAGTTTTCACATTTATGGCTGTCAGGCTCACGATTGGCAGAGAGCTCAAAATATACACAAGATGAACGTTCGCAGTTCTCGTCTTCGTTTTAAATTTTTTCGTAATTGCTCACACCTTGATACGTAATTAGAAATTAGTGAAAGGATCGGAACATTTTATCTAGCATGGACGTTTTCATTACAAGCCAACAGTCGTATTCCACAATTCGTTTTCCTCACAAGTTGTCGCTTATTTTATTTTTATTTCTTTAAGCTCAGTTCCCGTATGTAATCTTACGTTGACCACAATCGGCTCAAGCTGTTTAAATGTCAGAATCACACTCTTACCAAAGATGATATCTCCTCATTAATATTCTAAGTTCATAAACCTTCAATTTGAGTGTATATTTCTATATCCGTCGGTATATTCCACCAGGAAGTCTTCTTGTTAAAAAAAAAAAAAAAAAAAAAAAAAAAAACACGTTGCCTTTAAAAACAAATACAAAACCACGAATGATACATGTCATACGATCGCAAAAGTGTATTTTATTCTCATTCTAGCTTATTCTCCTTACAGCAAATTAATTTAATAACTACAGTACTTGGACCCAAATATATTCTTATCGCTGTGAAATCGAGCAAGAAGTCTTTTTGTTTCTGGCATACAAGTTATATTAAGGTTTCTGCATGTGGTAATCACTACTTGAGTAGATTAGAAAAGTTTTACTTGTAGCGTGTTTGCAATTCAAATTGGCGCAGGTTATTTCCTCTTTGGGTTTATCTCTGGTATATAGGAACCGGCAAATGTTTTATTGACACAGAACAGAAAGTGTGATGCTTTGTGATGTTTCAACCTGCTGAAAGCCGTGATTTCTAGGAGATGTTTCTGCCAGCATTGGTGCGACCATTGCGAGAAAAATGTAACGCAAGGTTCGGATGAAAAATGGCAAACAATTCATTGTAAAATAGGGATTTGTTCCTCAAGAATCGTGGAACATGTCCTTAACAATGACATTATTTATTTCCGTAATCATTTCTACTCACTGAGTCACGTACTTAATGTGATATTTTCAGCGATTAACATTCTATGAATGACAGCAATGCCGGCTATTATGGTGTTTTAATTATAAATTACGTCTTAAAACACATGAAAAATTAAAGGGAGAGGATGAATCAGGAAGCTTATCAGTTTTTGTTATAGCGGTGTGCAAACCTCAAGTCACATCGTGGTCAAAGTTTGTTCTCGGCCTTAACATTTAATTCTTTTACCCTTTTTCGGCCTTATCGTTTTATCCTTTCTATCGGAACGTCACCAACACAGAAGGAGTAAAAACAGTTCAGTTGATAAACAAGAACTTCAAGAAGGTAGGGGAATTAATGTGTCTGGTTGACGAACTTTTAAAGCATAATAATTTCAAAAAAACGTACCTTAGGTCAAAGCTTGTCTGAAAATGACGGCGTTTTGACAACAGCAGTCGATAAGCACTAGTGTCGCCGGGACACGGAAGGACTCTGAACGATGGTGAGGATAGTAGTTGATATTTAACAAGGAAACTTTTCCTGCATTTATTGTACTGCGGAGGAAAGTTACCCTTTGCGAATCCTCCTTTCAAAGTGCGGACTCTTATTTTATTTAGATTTTTGATAAAGATTCTTGAAGGTAATTAACTTTAACAAAGAGGATTCCGAAGTGGCACATGTCTCATGAGCTGCAAACTAATTATAAATGAAAATAATGTTGATTCAAGGAATATCGACTGTCTTACATCAGGGCTCATTATCATCATGCTTTTAACTCGAAGTAATCTTTGGATCAGTGCAGACAATATCGTGAACTCAAGTGCTGTTATTTATCTTTTTCATGTTATAGCTTTAAGAGAATATAATACTGCACTGAAAAGTGGTTAACTGTGATTTCCAAACTATCAAGGATTTTCGATTTGAGCCATTCACTCTTGAAGCTCTTGTTCATACGCATTATCCCATGATCTTGTGGGTTTTAATTAATAGAACAAAGATGACGTTTAAACTTGTAAGATGCTTATGAAGGAGGTGAAAAGTTTGGAGGATTAGAGATGGAACGTGAATAAATAGGGCGAAAACTGAAGATTTATCTTAGACGCCTACAAGCAAGTGAAGATTTTAGCTCAGAGCTTTCAGTTTAATTAAATTAAGTTAAATTTGAGGAGGTGATTAATTAATCCACGGACACCAATGAATACTAGTATCAATCCGTAGTGCTGTCTTGGTGGTCAATTTGGGGTTTTAATTAATGCTGTTTACAGGTTTTTCCCTATTAATTTTTTCCCATTCTGCTTCACAGAATTTCCTTGGAAGCAAATATGCTCTCTATGTAAAAGAAGCGTTAACCATCGGCATAAAACATATTTTCTCCTTCTTTACTTTATAAAATTTGCAAAGGTCTCACTCAACCGAATACCGTACTACTTGTTTACTTTTCTTTTCCGACAGGTTGGTCAGCAAGTTGATATATAATTCACATAACGTGAGTCTAGACGTGAATACAGAACAAAGTCAATACTCACGCTATTGTGACTTGCTGTTCCGTTTCCGCTCCGAAGATACTGGGGACAAAAGAGACTAGTGAAAGAGTACTACGATATAAACAGAGAAAAACAAACTGTAGAATTCAGTCTTCCGCCAAAGCCCTCAGCCGAGCAATGGCGAACTTCACTTTGTCAAATGCGTCGCTAGATCATGAGAACTACTCTTCATATCTGACCACATTGTACATATCAGCCTTCCTTCTTTCCTTCTTGTCGCCAATAACAGTGGTGAGCAATTCCCTTCTTCTGGTTGCAATCTACAAAGACCCCTTCAAATCTTTTCGTACCCCAGTCACTTACTTCATCATCAGTTTGGCAGTTGTCGATCTCATAACAGGTTTGGTTGCGGAACCATTCTTTGCAGCATACTACTTTGCCTGCTATCGCTACCAGACATTATTCCCTGGCAAGGTTTTCGATTATCTTTTCCAAATGGGTACGTTCGTTTCCCTTGTAATGCTTAGTACGTCCTTCCTGTTGGTCCTCGCTCTAACAACAACGCAGTACATCGCCATCACTTACCCTCACAAGTACAGGAGGTTTTTCACGAAGAAACGTGTGTTGGTTTCCGTATCCTGCTGCTTCGTATATTTCTCTATTTTCAGCAGCTTGCAGTTCACGAAATTCCCGAAAGAGATCTACTTCAAAATTAATCTGCATCTTCATCCCACCGTTGTAGGCGTTTTGCTCACTGCAGCGCACATTTTCCTTTACAAGTCTTTCCGAAAATTTGTGCGAAAGTCTAAAGCCATCCGACAGCAAAACATGATCAGTCGATCAATTTGCCAGCCTTCCCAAGTGGCACACGACAACAAGAGTGAGGCAAAGCATCAGAAACAGCTGACCGTTGTGGCGCTTTTCCTCTCCGCTCTTCTGTTATTGTCGCTTTTTCCGCATATTGTGACATTCTACGTCTTCCTTTACACGAAACACCAGTCTAACGAATTCCTGCTCCAAGTCAGCATTGCACTGCGTGTAAGCGACATGATTATGTTCCTAAAGGTTGCCCTGGATGCCTACATTTATGCATGGAGACATCCCAAGTACAGGAAAGCCGTAAAAGACGCCATATTGTGTCATATTATGCAAGCTGCTAGAGAACGAGAGACAGAGCAGGAGCTGATAGCCACCGGGTAGACCTAGGCCCGGGGCGGGGAGAGGGGATACTCCCCAAAGTTTTTTAGGGGTATGTGCAGCTCGAACTTTGAAACCTGTACCTTATTTCAGACCAAAATCTGTGATTTCCTTACCGTATTTCAGATCTGAGCGAAAAATCGATACCCCATTTTAGACCTCCAAAATTAGCACACGCCTGACCCCAGCTAACCCGCTAGTTCCTTGTGAACAAAATGCCAAATGCCAAGCCAAAGTGAAGCACATACCTTATTTCAGACCAAAATGCTCAAAATTTACAGCCTTTTTCAGACCAAAACCACTCAAAATTCATACCCTTTGGGACCGCACAAACCCAGATAGCCCATATAAGGGAGTACCCCCCCCCCCCAACCCCCTTTGGAACTAGGGCAGTCTTGCTATTTTCTTTCATTGCCAACTGAGCAATATTAAATGTACAATTTTCAAAATTACATGCGAAGGACAAGTGAGGGACCCACTTATTTATGACACGATATACGTGAACATGTATGTTGACGTTTATCTTTTCTGTGAGCCTGAGAGCAACAGGCAAGGGTGAACAAAAGGAATTGGTAATATTTTATACGCCGGTATGCGCTCTGATTGGTCGCACAGTTGCGTAGTTTCACTGTGTTAGTATCAGTCTTCTTGGCACCGGAATGGAAATCGCCAGAGAAAATAGCTTTTCCTGCAATTTCTCTACGAAGTGCCCAACAGTTTTCGCTCTCTGTAACCAACTCAGGCACTTCAGGTGTACTTCGGAAAGTATTTTACATAACGCGTAATGTCCCGACCAGTGGTGGTACCATTCACACTTATTAGAGAATAGAATTTCAAGCTCACGAGGGATGCTATATATATTTCGATTTTAAAAACAGTATCGACCAACAAAGGTACTTATGTTGCAAATGGTACAGAATACCTTGGACTCAGCTTATATAGGAATCAGGTGGAATGTGGTGTTGGGATATGTGGGACGGATAAAATTTGTACATAAAGTGATATGTTCATTTCCTAATGGTGACATACATGTAGCGTAAACTAGATTGTCAAACTCGGCACTATTGATAATTGATAAATATTTAATTTATTGATATCTTTTGACGACATCTTACAAATCAGAAATTTCAAATGCAAATTAAAAAGTACCAAAGATTTTCAGCTAACATGGTAGTAATTGAAAACAAAAAAGGCGAAATGAAACAACTTCTTTAAATATTATTTCGGAACCTCCAAGGAAGTTTCAGCAGATCGTAACAAACGAATAGTTACTAATCATTTAAAATGATTCGAGATTCAAAATTCACAAGCTGACAATTTTTCTCAGGGTAATAATGGCTATTCTTATTATCTAATTAATATCGAATTTCCTGTGTAAAATGTCTCCATTAATCAAGGACTCGTTTGTTTATTTATAATTAAGATATCATTATATTAATTATATTAATATAATTAAATAGATAGATATAATATAAGATAAATAGATATAATTAAGAAGCGGGCTGCGGATCAGCTTCATATAAGCGGATCAGCATCACACAATTTATCAGGGAACTAATGAGAATTTACTTAGTTATTTTTTTCTCCTGTCAATAGACGTCTTTAAGTCTGCAACTGTACAGTTCATGTTTTTAAATGTTAGTGATTTGTCGTGCTTTTAAATTATCTAATTAAACAAGCTTGCATTTCAATAAACATTTTACTGGCTCTACTCTACTCCTTCTTCATATCGAAACATTAGCAACTGTCGCAATCTTGGTGAAGAGGCTAACAGGGGACTGAGAAAGTAACTTAGTCGATCGTTGATTTCTTTTAATTTAAATTAGTCATACTGTTCCTGTTACGGAACAGTTAGGTCATTATGGCCTAGGGAAGCAGTTTTCAAATCAACACTGTACCCAGAATTTGTTCATCTTTGACCAACTTGAACGATTTACAAAACAAATATCTTTGAAACAGCCCATTGTCATACTTCAAACATCTTTTAATTTTTACTGAGTGACATACCCTTGCTGTAATTTGGAATTCCCCTCCAAAAACGCGTTAAAATTAAACGAGGCAGAGTTCGTGTCGCAGAACTGCAGCCGTATCTGTGAACCTAACGAATTGGTCTGCTTAGCCGTAGCAGTTAAACAATTCACCCAGCAGAAAGGTCTAACGGCACTGTTGGTAGTTGTGAACTTAAAATTCTGAAGGATGCCTAATAGTTAAATTAAATTTACCGCTCAAAGATAACGCCAAAAATAACTTCCATCAAAAACCTGTCATTACAAATGTGTTACTGTGCCAGTGGACAATTTCCAAGTCAAGAGATGTTTGGGTTCTCTAAGCCCTCTGCATATGTCTTAGATGGCTACGACGGCTCCTCTTGTCCAAGTTATAACTTTCACAGTTAATAGTGATTTTCCAAGAAGAAATTAAGAAACACGTTGTGCGGCAGAAGCTATTCTGAGAAGGAAAATGCAGACCAATTCCGTAAACTATGAATTTGGAAAGTATTTCATCACATAGCAGTTGTAACAGTACTCTACTTATGGATTTTCGTAATATTTAGTTTTAATATTAGATCTGAGGATTTTGTGGTAGGTTAAGGAAACTTCCCTGAAATATCTCAAGAAATTATTTTGTTGAGTCACCTGTCCGTTTGACAGTCAATTCATAGTTCACGGAGAAGATACCTTTTTAACACTCTCGGGAGTGAGATAGTTGACCATCAGTTTAGAAGGAGAACAAATGACATTCACAGATCTTCTCCTCCAAACGAGCCTGCTACAGACTATCCGAATTAAATGGTTGAACCTGAAAATTCAGAGAGCTTGAGAGTGTTGTCTGTTGTATTTGTGAGGTTCTCTTTCATGGTCTGTACATGAATAGAGAGCTTTTCTAGATCCTGTTCCAGGCCTTCCAGCTGCCTCCAAGTCGGGTTAACACGAAGGAAATTTTCGGTAGTCGCAGTTTTCTGACTTTTCTCATCTACAGAAAAATAGACAGGACAAATTAAATCCTCCGCACAAGTTAAATTTGTTAATAAACGTAGCACCACATTAATGAAAGCATTTAATACAAGTAAACTAAGCTACAATAACGCACGGTTACGATAATTTAACTCTCTGCAATGGTGTATTAACAATCAAATTGGGAATTCGTTACCTATTATTTGTTTGCACTTCTATCATCCAGCTTAACATATATTAAGTAGCAGCGATCGATATGTTGAAGCTCCCTCTTGGTACATCTTCAGTAAATACTACTCACTGTGAAGTATCGATAAATTTAATTAACTCAGCCGACGAAATAATCTCAGTCACTGTAGCGGAAAACTCTACATGCAGCTTCTTGAAAAAACTTGCATGCAGATTAACGGTGCAAAAGATTCATAAATATATTGTAGAGTAGTCTAGTGTACCCAATTAATTCTTAATTTCGTATTCTTAACTGTACATTTTAAATCTTAATCTATTNCAAACACACCTACGAATTTGTGTGTAAGAGAAACGAACCCCGCGGTTATGCGAAACAGACGGAAAAATTGGTCTCTATTACCCCTACTCTACAATATAATTTTATCTCATTTCCTCAATCGCCAGCAACCAAAACTATACATTGCAAACACCCAGAACAAGATTAAAAAGCGAAAGTAACCAATGGTGACTGAGAGAAGCTAATGTAGGGTTTTCAAACTTTCACACTGTCATTAGAAATGGCCGTCATTAGCAGTCTAGTGTACCCAATTAATTCTTAATTTCGTATTCTTAACTGTACATTTTAAATCTTAATCTATTGTAACGTAGTAGTGTCCCCAATTAGCTTCTGTAAGCTAAATACTTTCCCTGACACTTAAATAAGTTATTATTATTATTATTATTATTATTGGTAGTGTAATAAGAACATTTATCGTATCTTCAAAATGAACGTCATTAAAATCTGAGATTACGTTTAATCGAGCAAACATGTAACAAGTAAACAGGAGCATTATTAATCCAAGTAGGGATGAATATGAACAACCTACCCAATTCATTAAAAGAATAGCATTAATGGGTGATTCCAGAAAATATCCATACCATACCACGGGCGGCATCTTGGAATTCCGAGGGAGAGGGGGGTTTCTTGGACTGGAATTCTGAAGGCATGGGGTGGGGTTAACGCAATTTGGAATTCCAAACGCATAAGGGGGTTTCAGCTCTGAATTTCCAGAGGGGGAAGACGACGAAAGCTTGGCTTGAAATCTCTGATCTGATACCTTTTCCAGTTTGTAAATCATCAAGCACNTTAAAATTCCCTATGTCAAAATTCAGATTTTTTGTGATAGATCATTTACGTGGTTTCTGAACTATTTTTTTTTGCCAAATTTCTTGAAATTCTAACGAATGGATCGTTAGAAATCAACAAGTTTCTGCAAAAGCAATCGGTCTCAATTTTTCGAGCAACTGCGCATGCGCTGCATTTAACTGGGTTCTTTCGGTAACAAAGAAAAAGCTGAGAATT